CAAAGTAAGTATGCATATTCACATACATACGAGCATCGATTATATAAACAAATTATTCCTCATATTTTCTGATAACATCATACGGAAAAATATATTCCTTTGTTGCATATTTTTCTTCTAGAATGCTTATTACGACCTATAGGTAGATTTATTGTATTTTTTTTTATTCTTCTTCTTCTTCAAATATATGTTATATTGAAATAATATAATTGAACACGCTCGGATGGATGCAGCACAAAGGAACTTTTTTATATTATTAGAACACATAACGTTCTATCTCTCTCTCTCTCATTCTGTTTTTCTCTTTTATGTATAATACATCTCGTATAGCAAAAATATTTAAAATATTAAGTAATTCATATTTGCTTTTAAATGTATTTATCTTTATTTCTAAATAGTAACCAAATGGATGTGTAATAAATGTTAAAAAATAATTGTTAAAATCATTCTCTCTGGTAATATATCTCTCATGTGACAGATTATAATAGAACAAACTCGCGCGGTTTATTTTATTATTTTTGTATTGCGATAAAAAAATTTTGGACGAGAATTATAATGAAAAAAAAAAAAAAAAAAAAGAAGGAAGAACGCGAAAAAATAAGAGAATAAAAGAGAAAGCGAGAGAATATAAAAATTCTTCGAAGTATCTTCGAGCAAATATGTTTTATCAAGTTGAACAGACTCGCAACGCACGAAAGGCTTCATTAAATTTCTTCCCTCTTTTTCGAAAGAAAGGGATGGAAAAAGAAGTAACACGAAGGGCGAATACGCCCTTACCATGTACGTGATAACCATAAACGGACCAACCAAGAAATTTCTTTACGATGGATGAGTCTGTAACCTCGAAGAAAACGAAGAGTGTTATACTTCTTTAATATTCATTTTCCTTTCTGTTAAAACTCGAGAAATCAAATTAATTCTCAATTTTCGCTTAGAAAATATATCGAAAGGGCTCTTATAAATATCCCTTTTTACGCGGATTAAAAGTTTAATTAAAATTTATTTAGGAACGGCGCACGAGTTGTAAATAACATTAAAATTACTTCTCGCATATTTGCGCATGCGAATAATATTTTTAATTAAATTTAAATATTACATTTTTTATCTTTTTGATTTTTCGAAAATTATGGTAGGGTAATATGTTTAATAAATTCTAATAAATTAATAGGAAAACATCTGCAAAAATTGAGAAATATAATTCGAACGTAGTTTTTTTTATTTTATCGTTTGATCAAGAAAACTTTTTTTTATGTGGTCGTTGATAAACTTTTTAAATTTTATTGACACAAGTACGAGTATATATATATATATAAATATGTAAAAAGAGTATAAAACGTAAACTATACTTGAAGAAAATTTCGAAACAAGTTTATTACTTTATCCCAAAGAGTTATCTACAAAAATGAACTTTTTTTTATATATGTTATACCAAAGCTGAGAAGTAACCTAACTCGTTACAGACAAACATTTCGTGTACGAAATCGATGCATACTTTTTCATTCCTATAAATATAAATATGAAGAGAAGAAATTAGTTTGCATAATATTTACCATCCTCTTCCTCCCCTTATTTTTCCATCAGCTCCATTAGTCCTTTTTTACACCACTATTTAAAACTAAGCCGTTTTTATGAGAGCACTAACCGTTGCTTCTTGCGAAAATACGACAATGTAAATGGCTGATTAATAATATTTATAACCCTAATAACGATACCTTTCCAACCCTACCTCTTAATCCTCCCTCCCTCTCTCTCTCTCTGTCCCTCCCTCTATCATTTTTCGTCTCGCTTTATAAAAATATTTCTCGAAAAAATTATATGTGAAACGAATCGAAGAATTGTTTATATCCGTCTTATACGCCGTGTTTTGAATTATTTATATTTTTTCTAACAACACGAAACATACCAAATTGCATACCATCACCTTTTTTTATTATTTTTCTCCTTTCCTTTCTTCCCGTTTTTCATTTCCTCTCTTTCACGTTCCCGCGTTGTTTAAACGGGAATACCATTTTTCGCATTACTTCGGCAAAGAAACCTCGAAAAAATTCGCTAGAAAAGTGGTAAAAAAGATAATAGAAGAATTCAACGTAGAGTGTTGTTGCAGTTGTTGCTTTCTAACAATACTGCACACGACTAATTCCACCCTATTGGATTTTCTTTACAAAAGCAAACACTATTTCTCTCGTTGGAGTAGAAAAAGCATGTATGTTGGTTGTATACCACTACCACCAACCACCACTACCATCAACCACCCACCCACTACCCCGTCTTCTCTCTGTTTTCTTCTCTTTCTCGTTCATAACGTTTCTTCCTCTCATTGTTCCGAAAACGAACGTCTTTCTTCGAATGTCGAGAGAAGAAAAATCTAAAAGATAAGAAATAGAAAAACAAATTCTCCCTGTAACACAGAAAGTTCTATTCACGGTGATACGAAAAAGACTGGCAGACAGGCAAGAAACACTTTAACGTTTTGTCCTCGCATAAGAAAGATGTGGTTTTGGTACAAGGGGACGCCATTAGAATGCATTTACAATTAAACGTTAAATTGCTTTGATTACGAAAACAACAATTTAACTTTTCTACATCTGCACGGAATCCGTGTTTCTTTCTCTCTCTTTCTCTCTCCTTCTCTTCATTTCCTCGTATTTTTTTTCTAAAGCTAATTAATTTCCATTATAAAGGAACGATAGAACTGTCCAAGCGAAAGAAGCTTAAAGTAATCATTTTCTTTTCGTCCCAAATAAATGATCCCAGATATATATTCAGTGGAATACCATTTTCTACCATTCTACAATTTTTCTTCTTACTCGCTAATTACAATTAAGAAATATAAAAGTATTAATAATTCCTGCATACTTATATATTATCATTTCGTTGTCTTATATTATATTATATTGTATATATAATATATAGCAATCTCGTTGAATATGATACGACAATTTCGAGGAATATTTTCCCTAAAGCATTTATGGGAATGAATCGAACGTTAAAGTGAATTAACTCTTCCCCCTTCTTCACCCTACTCCTCCTCCTCCTTTCCACCAAGAGAAGAACGTCCGGTTCATACATAGAACTGGAATATTGCTTCGATAATATCGACAATTTGCATAAGGACAAGTATCGGTGTCGAATATTCCCCGTAGATCCATTTAGATATAAATTATATAGGGTTTGAAAACATTTAATAATATCGTTAGATAATATTACACACGGCTTATTGCAATTTGTATGCTACCGAGAATAAGTTTATTGCTTTAAATATAGATATATACATCGTACAATTCGTACTTTTCTTACGTTGGAAAATTTAAATCAAAAGAATAGAAAATAAAAGATATCTTAGGAAATTTTGCATAATACATAAAACCAATTATCCTTACGTATGATTTTTTGGATAATTCAATTAGAAAATACAAACAAGAAAAACAAAAAATAATATTACCGAAGAATACGAGCATTTGCATATATGCACACACAAAAAATAAACTATTACAATCCCGTAAAGAAAATACTATATCAACAGATTAAAAACAAAAGTATGTTATGCAACTAGATTTGTTTATAAAAATTAATTCGATACTTTATATACATCATTATTCGAACGTATCGTTGTTCTTATATGTATTATACAAATCTCACATATTCCTATTCGTATTACGTTTTATCTACGTGCTCGCGTGTCTGTGTATGAATATATGTATGAGTGTGTGTGTATCATTGAAACGATAAATCTTGAAGAAAATAAGGTCGGGACGAGGGAATGAGGGGGGAACGATACGATAGGACAAGAAAAGAACGCATTAATCGAGTTTACGGCTTGGGGACACTTTTTCCTTTTGAATAATATAAAAAGTTCCAAGTAGCTTTGCGTTTATACGTCCAGAGGAAGGTACTGGACACAGTTTGGACAAACTTTCAATGATACAACGGGACCAAAATTTAACTCTTCTCTTGCTCCAATTTCCCCTATATACAAGAAGATAGATTTTTCTATTTTTTTTTTTGTTTTCGTTGTTACAAACAAAAAAATAAATAAACTTTTCAACTCTTTCGAATCGATTCTCTATATTCTCTCTCTCTCTCTCTCTTTTTTATTTGCTTTTTTGTAGTTAAGGATTAGTGAAATAAGAATGAAAAATAAGAGACATTGGAAGAAATGAAAAAGGAAACAAGAAAGGTAAAGTTTCTACCAGCAGCAACAAAGCTAATTTCTCGTTTGCGTGTTTCACTGTTTCATTTACGGTATTGCATTGAATAAACTTGCTTGTTGTGTGTTGCTGTGTTCTTTACGTGAAAAGAAAGAGAGGAAGAGATGATAGTCAAATGATAACGAGTAAGCGCGAAACGAATTTAGCAATAAATAATATAAACTACCGAATGGAATTCTCTGACTCGTCGTAACTCACTAACTCCTATTATTACGATGTCGTTGAATACATTTGTACGAGCATCCTAATAATTATTATATACTAACATAATACTCAACAATTATTAAAATAATCCTTTGTTCACATATTACTCTCGTTCATTTTATACAACAAATTAATCACTCTTACAAATATAGTTAATTCGTTCAATGTTGCATCGACAATCATGTTAATAAAAAAAGAAAATCTAAAAATAAATATGTAATACAAATTAAGAGAAAAAGAAATGCATGCACTAAGTATAGAGACTGTGTTTTAAATTGTCATAATTTATGCAACATATTTTTTTCAATTAGTCGAATCTACTTTGAATTATATATCACAACTGTGTAACATCAAATTTTTTAATGAACATATGAATCATATGTACATACACAATATTATTTTTAATGGGTACGTACACGTACGTGTTCTCTAAAATAAACCAAATGTGTAGGGAAAAAGAAAAAGAGGAAAATAGCGACAGTGTAATTTTTCATTAAAAATTCGTTTGACAAAAAAAGAATATATATATATATATGATAAAATGTTTCGCAATAAGAAACAATATCTAGCAATTTTGTTTTATTTCAGGTAGTCAGAGCTGCCAGCCCGGTTTTGCTACGCGTTATAGTGTTGGGTGCATTCTTCATATATTGCACGGTAAAGTCCGGTATTTTTTTTCTTCCTCCAAAGAATTATATCATTCATAGACGGATGTAATAAACTTTTGTATTGTATGAATAATATTCGTCGAATTAAGTTAGCGAACTTTTCCTTTTAATATTTGTGATTTTCATTAGACGCATTAACATTCTCGTACGAATGATTTAAATAATTATAATTATGATTCTATACACTTTATTACATTTCTTCGTTTAAAAAAAAACACACACACAAAATTGCACTCCTATGTTTTTATTTTGCAGACTATTGTAATGTATCCTCAGCCAAACGTTATTACGTGCACCGTTCGAGTTTGGCTTAGAGAAATTGGATTTTCTTTAACGTACGGTGCTTTAATGTTGAAAACTTGGCGGTAAGTAAACGAACGATTGATAATTATTTTTAAAAAATTCCCAAATAATATCTATTGCTCGAGTACGATAAAATAAAAAATCGAAGCAAAAAAATAAAAATTGCAACACGTTTGTTATATTCTTTACGCGTATTCCTAAGTATCCAAGAATTTGTATTAGAGAAAATCTAGCGTTTTACTTTCTCCTTTAATTTATTTATATGTTTCTGCAACGCGAAAAAAAAATAAATTCTTATAGCGTATATTTCTTTGCTCCTTATTTCTTTAACAACGTATTTTTCTACGCTAGAAATATAATGAAACTTGTAAGAGAAGTAAGGTAAAGGAAAAAAGGTTGATAAATAGGTTTACTTTTCGATAAATTCTAAAATAGTAGCGGTGTAAGTGTCGAAAATAAGAAGAGTCATTGAAAGGAATCGATTACTTGGATAATGATGCTTACAACTTTGCAATTTGCCATCTGTGGCGAGTAAATATCCTCTCATCCTTTTGCACGTTCAAAGAACGTTAAACGCTAAGCTTCTGGCATCGCAATACACCAACTTGTCTCATTAGCTTTGAAACGTTAACCTGAGAACATTTAATCATTTAACATCGACGATACGTAAGATGGAGAACGTATAATTGAACACGTATATTGAATTATTTCGAATAAGACGAATCAACGCTCGAAATTATGCTCGAAATTAATTTCTTATTTCAATAATACATTTTCTATTATACGATCAAACTAATAATTATTCTATAATAATTATCGCAATAGAAAACATTGGCAACAGTAGTTCCTATGTCATTTCAAAATTCGTATAATTAAATGTTAGTTAAAGAAAATTACCCCATGCAATTAAATAAATACATTTTTAATATTAATTTGTTTCTCTCCAATTTCGTTCGAGCATTAAAAACGTCCAATTGCATTATAAATATTTTCATGTTAAATTTAATTATAATATTATTATCTTCGTTAAGAGGAATACATACAGATGGAATGAAAAATGTTGAAGAGTAGAAATAATGTTTACGGTTACTCATTTTTCTTGGAAAGCTCAAGAACTTGTCACAACCCATCCACGGATATTTTATATATTTCAAATTAATTGTAATCTCGTTTAAAAAAAATGCTCGGTCACGAATGTGCTAATTACAATAATCCATCCTTTGGTACGATTACGAAATGAATGATGAAAATATATGATTACACTAATATCATTTAAATTGGAAATTAAGATCATAGAGTATTTAGGAGTGAATTGTATTCAACTTTGGATATGTTAACGAGTCAATATCGTAAGTGTTAGGAACATTGCCATTATCCCGATTTACATTGGTTCGATGAAAGCCACGTTTCTCCCGCATTATATCTACCAATACTACGAAAACATATAATACGTAACGATATACATATATATGTGCAAGTATGTCGCTGACATACATCCGGTCATATCCTGATAATGTGGCTGCTGACACTACCGATATATTCAGTAATAGTAAAGTCTTCGTCAATTCTGTTTGCCCGACACATGGCAAAAGCTTTAATCCAGCCCGCATGCAATCAAACACCCTCCCATCCCCGAAACCCAACTTCAATTCCCCAACCTTTAATATCTCCTGTTCTCTGGATCGAAATCGAACATTTTGAAAATATTTTAACGCGAACCGAACCAACCTAAACTTGAATTTCCCCTTTTCCTAGTTTAATCCGAACATTAACGAATGTTAGAAATGAGAAAATATCGAGCCTTTTCGCTTTTTACATACAAATATTTATTTTTTCACTAAAACCGGTTGTATATTTCTATTATTTTTTTTCCTATTCGCTCATCCATCATTATCCTTTCTCATCGTCTTCTTTTTCTTCTTTTTATAACATTTCTTTTTTTTTTTTTTTTTTCAAAATTGTTATCGTATAAATGATTAATTAATAACAATAATACGATTCACATTAAATCCGAATGAAAATTACTATTTAATCGTAAATTAAAATCAGAAAGAACTAGAAAGAACTGGAAAAGAATGTCGGAACTTATAAAGGATCGATAATCGTGCCGGTACTT